TGCAGAGGAATTCCAATTAATTTATGCTCATATTCTACCTCATATTCCACAAGAAAGTAGAGCTTAACTTCCCACTTACTAAGTATGGACTACCCAGTGACTTCCTTCCAAGAAGTACAGCATGGAAAGGTCAGTGATTGTTGATAAAATGTACCCTTTATACAATGGGATGAAAATGGCACTCCCTCTCTGTGATCTTCCTCTCGTGAACATATAACCACAATCTAACCATGAGAAAAACAACAGATGAAACTCAACTGAGAGACATTCTACAAAATATCTGACCAGTACTCCTCAAAATTGTCAAGGTCATTAAAAATTTAAAAATCTGAGCAACTGTCCCAGCCAAGAGGATCCTAAAGAGACATGACTACTAAATGTGATTTCCTAGATGGAATCTTGAAATAAAAAAAAATAAGGGAATCTGATTAAAGTATGGACCTCAGTTAATATTAATATACCAATACTGTCTAATTGTAACAAATAGTCTATACTAATGTTAGATGTATTTAATAATAAGGGAAATGGAATGAAGAGTATATGGGAACTCTATTATGTTCCCAATTTTACTACAAACCTAAAACTTAACTAAAATTAAAAAAAATTTAGGGTGCCTGGGTGGCTCAATCATTAGGCATCTGCCTTCAGCCCAGGTCATGATCCTGGTCAGGGTCCTGGGGTAGAGCCTCACAGTTGGCACCCTGCTCAGCGGGACTCTGCTTCTTCCTCTCCCTCTGTCCCTCCCTCCACTCTTGTGAGCACACATGCTTGTGTGCACGCTCACTCGCTCTCTCTCTAAAATAAGTTAAATATTTTTTTAAATGTTTTAATTAACATAGAATTGACTTGGTAGCAGTGAAGTAGAAATGCTTGTATAAAAATACCTTTAAAGTTCAAAACCAGATGGTAATTTCTAGGTTGACAGGAAATAAATCAATTTGGATGTAGTACATCCAAGTTAGTACATAGGATAGTACAAGAGACAGAAAAAATAATAGTCCTGTGGAAAACAACATTAAGATTCTTATTTTAGGAGTGCCTGGGTGGCTCAGTGGGTTAAAGCCTCTGTCTTCAGCTCAGGTTGTGATCCCAGGGTCCTGGGATCAAGCCCCACATCGGGCTCTCTGCTCAGCGGGGAGCCTGCTTCCTCCTCTCTGCCTGCCTCTCTGCCTACTTGCAATCTCTGTCAAATAAATAAATAAATAAAATCTTTAAAAAATTTTTAAAAGATTCTTATTTAATTTTAGCAATAAGACTACCACCACCAATAAAACACTTCCTCAGGCTTAACACTTCTTCCAGAACTTCAGAGCAAGCTCAAAAATCTTTTCAAGTTTTTCAAGTTTCCAGCACAAAACTTTTTTTCTTTTTTTTTTAAAGATTTTATTTATTTGACAGAGAGAGACACAGCGAAAGAGGGAACACAAGCAGGGGAAGTGGGAGAGGGAGAAGCAGGCTTCCTGCTGAGCAGGGAGCCTGATGCGGGACTCAATCCCAGGACCCCAGGACCATGACCTGAGCTGAAGGCAGATGCTTAACGAATGAACCACCCAGGTGCCCACAAAAAGATTTTTAAATGTTTATATTCTAAAAAATAGTGAAACTCCAGAGTTAACAGAAAGGGAGAGAAATGACATTACTGAAGTAAAATTTAACAAGTTCTTTCAATCACCAATTTTTAGAGAGGTACCTTAAAGGAACATGTGATTGGGATCAATCCCAGTTACTACAAATACTTAGCCAATGTAACTCATTTTTCTGAAATTCTAAGTCTTAAGAAACAAAGGTTGAGGAGTGGAGGGATATCTGCCAAAACAAAATAGAAAAATCCAAAACAGATCTCTACCTCACACCTTATGAATAGTACCAAATGAATTATAGATTTAACTGTTTTTTTTAAAAAAACAGGGACACCTGGGAGGCTCACTCAGTTAAGCATATGCCTTTGGTTCAGATCATGATCTCAGGGTCCTAGAATCAAGTCCTACATCAGCTCCTTGCTGAGCGGAGAGCCTGCTTCTCCCTGTCCCTCTGCCACTTCCCCTGCTTGTGCTCTCTCTCTGTGTCTCTGACAAATAAATAAAACATACATACATACATACATACATACATACATACATAAAACAAGACTATATAGGACAGCTGGATGGGTCAGTTGGTTGAGTGTCTAACTCTTAATTTCAGCCCAGGTCATGATGGTGCAGTCCTGGGACTGAGCCCCCATCTGAATCAATGCTCAACGCAGTCTGCTTGTCCTGCTCCCTGTTTCTACCCCCACTTGCACTCTCTCAAATAATAAAATCTTTTCATAAAAATAAAATAATAGGGGCGCCTGGGTGGCTCAGTCATTAAGCATCTGCCTTCAGCTCAGATCATAATTCCAGAGACCTGGGATCAAGCCTCACACTGGGCTCCCTGCTCTGCAGGAAGCCTGCTTTTTTCCCTTTCCCACTCCCCCTGCTTGTGTTCCTCTCTTGCTGTGTCTCTGTCAAATAAATAAATAAAATCTTAAAATAATAATAATAATAATAAAACTATTAAGAATACAGTTGAATTAATTTTAAACAACATGAAGATTAAATAAAAACTTATATATGACACCTAATGCAGAATCTGTACAGCAGGTGAAAACTGATGGCTCACCCACATTTTGTTTGGCTCAGTGTTTAACGCTTTGCCCAAAAAACTTAGAAGTTGAACATCATTACATAAAAATGCTGACTTCAGTTTCTACTGAACAATGAGAATTTCTGAAAATACTAGGCCAATCTTCCCATATGACAATAACCCACAGCTATGACTGCCCCTTTAGAAGAGGCACCTGTGTTCCAGCCTGCCAGAGTCCAACCTTGTACACGAAATCAGACTTATTTCATTTGCTTACCTGCTTAGTTTCTAGGAGCATTCGACTTTGAACCCCAATTACACAGAGGAAAATATCAGATTTGTCTACAATGTATGTAGGGGAAGGAAAAAACACACTTAAATCTTAACCAGCCAGGAAGTAACAGGCAACCAAACCATAACGAAAAGACCAGCAGAGAGCATGGAATATATTTACCTCTAGAACTAAGACAGAAACAAAGGTAGGGATTAGGCTGAAAGATATTTATACATTGTTGGAGTACTTAACTAACAAAATAAGAAAGTAGGAGGGAGGAAAAAAGATAAAGGAAAAGTTAACTGACAGAGGTTAAGAGAATACTATTTAAATAAAATAGCAGAAATGAAAGCTAACAGTAAGCAATAATAAATGTTATTTACCATTAAGATTATGATGTGACTGTAACTGTCCCATTACAATCCACAGCACCCCTCTAAGATCACACTGTCACAGAAGCAGCCTCATATTAAAGCAAAAGTTCAAGTATTACCAGCTGACTTAGATACTGAATGATCATCTTATACATCATTTTATTAGCATATAATGCTTGGGTTCTTATACAAATGATCCATTATATAATGTAAATCAGCTCAACAATGCCTTGGCGGCGGGGGGGGGGGGGGGACGACTGACTAATAGCAAAAACTCAAACTACTCCAAGAGGTACACCTTGGGGTGCCTGGGTGGTTCAGTGGGTTAACGCCTCTGCCTCTGGCTCAGGTCATGATCTCAGGGTCCTGAGATCAAGCCCCACATCAGGCTCTCTGCTCAGCAGGGAGCCTGCTTCCCCCCACCCCTCTCTGCCTGCTGCTTTACCTACTTGTGATCTCTCCCTCTCTCTGTCAAATAAATAAATAAAATCTTTAAAAAAAAAAAAAAGGTACACCTAAAATCAAACACACAAGAAACTAAAAATTGGGGCACAGTTTACAATATCTCATTTACAACAAGTGGGAAAGTCAGTAGTTGCTATGATGGTAATAAATATAGAGCAATCCCTCCTAATCCTCAGGGGATAGGCTTTAAGACCCGTAGTGGGTACATTCTAAGACCCTCAGTGGATGCCTGAAACCACCTGGTACCAAACCCTGACGCAGCGCGCGCACACACACACACACACACGCGCGCACACGCACACACACACACACACACACAGTGTTTTTTCCTAGACATGTGCACTTTATCTGATAAAGTTTAATTTATAAATTATAAATTTATAAATTAAAGAAAACAGTAACAAAATAGAGTAATTTGAAGAATACACTGTAATAACAGTTACGGAATATGGTCTTTCTCTCTCAAAGTACATTATTACACTGTTCTCACCATTCTTCTTGTGATAATGTGAGATGATAAAATGAAGTGAGGTGAATGATGTAGGCATTGTAACATAGTGTTGGGCTACTACTGACCTTCTGACCATACGTCAGAGGGAGGATCATCTGCTTCCATTAAGTGAAACCACAGAAAGACTGCACATTTGGGGGAGGCAGGGGGTAGGACTAATATAGATTTCAATACTAAAATAGAGGATTAAGCAACATAATCAAAGCCAAAGATAATTCATTACAACAAAACAGAGATAATAATGAAAATTTTAACTGACATCCCAAGCAATACATGAAATACACAAAATATGCTGATAGCCACACAATGAGGAAAGTATTCTATTTACAGACTTACATATTACTAAGTATACAAAAGAATAAGTAGGATTCCCCCCCCACAAAAACAAAAGCAACTAAAACTTAAAAATGATAAACAGGGAAGAAAATACTGGGTTTTAAGACAGAAGAAACACCAATTTCTTATTATGACACGGTTTTTAAATGCATAAGATATTATGCTTCACAGAGACAGTATCTTCAGAGTTGGGAAGGTTTTCTTAGGATAAAAAAAAACTAGAGAAGCTTTCAAATTAAGAGGAAGAATCAGAGAAAAAACACAAGTTGAGTGAGGCACTAAAAGAAATGAAATCAGGGATGGGGGGAAAGGAAGAAAAACAAAAAATGGGTAAGAACAAGAGGGAAGGGAAAGAAGAGGGAAAAGAGAAAAGGAGAGAAAAAAGAGAACAAAATTAAAAATTGGCTTGCATATATGTATTTTTAAATATTACCTTCTTGAAGACCAGGATGTATCACCTGCTTATGCCGCAAGGCCTTCAAGTCTTCTATCAGTTCCTTTTCCAACTGGGAAATTCTTGCTCTGCAACCTACTCAGAAAATAACGACAAAATAAGCTGCTGTACACTACAGAAAAAGAAACATTGCATCTTTCCCTTCTAGAGCCAAATCACAGATCTCTCTCCTTTTAAAGTATATAATACCTGGGTCGTTTGTGGTTGATGCCTGAAGACTACAGGGTTCTTCAGTTGTCCCATCAACTGCATGAATGTCAAGAGCTTCCTATATATAAAAAAAGAAAAAAGTTCATATCACTCCTAGAAGTTTAAATGTAAACAAGGAAACTTTTCTTTTCTGATACTTTTGATATTTTCTCAATGTTCTACATTAACAGCATTTCAAATATGAAGGAAAAAAAGCAAAAAAATCTGAATAGGAGCATATGCAGATAAAACTGTTTATGCCAATTTACATACTGATATAGCCTATGTAAAGAAAGCTTACTCAGCAATTAACAAAGAGACAGAAGACCAGCTAAAGAGAATTCAACCTCTCTGTAGCCAATTTAGAAATGCCAGGCTTCTATAAAGATTTAAAAAGAAAAATAATGCAGCTGAAGAGCTGCAGTAAAATAAACTATCCATGTATGAGACAACAGAATTTTTAAAACAATATTAGTTTTCCAGTGGTACTCTGCTACTACTGATGAAAACCAGAGGATGGGGTATACTGAAACAGTCAATTTTTCATATATATATGCCTTTTTAGAGTCCATAATAATGTAAATTCCAATAACAATCAGTTCGACAATCGTGAACTGAAATCAAAGCAGACATTTAAGTCTATTCCAACAAAATACCTTAAGTGGTGCCTGTTAATTAAATCATTTTGGAGACACTCCCCTCCCTACAGATAAACCTTCACATAACAGGCGCATTCAAAAAAACAAAATTCTAAGTTAGTTATCAACCTGTATACAATTTCAGAATCACTATCTGACCTCCAAAGAAATGCTGAAAATCATAATCTTACCTTTGATTCAAAGGAAACAAAGAGAACACCATCCACGTCTTCCAGATCAGGCTTCACATCTGGAAAGTTACTCCCAGGACCCACAGGAGTGCTCTTTGTAGAAGTTAAAGATTTTCCTGTGCTTTTAGGTGGTCGCCCTGCCTTAGAGAGTTTCAATTTTCGTGGCCTTCCTCTTTTTCCAGGGATATTTGAAGGGGCATTCTGATTAGCATTCACAACCCTGGAGGCTGTTGAAATCTTAAGCACAGTTGTTCTCCTTCTGCCCAAGTCCTCTTTTCCTAAAAACGGGTCCCCAGCTGAACTCTTCGAACTGTCAAGTATTCTTTCTGTGTTAATGCTGTCAGATAGCTCAGGATATTTCCATTGAGGCTCTTTAAGTAAGGGGTATTTCTGTACCACTCTGAGATCTGGTGAATGTTTTCTAAGACCATTGTCTGATTCCTTGCCTAAGCAGAAGCCAGTCTCATCAGTATTTTCAATGTACGTGGGCAAATAGTCTAATTCTGTCAATACAGAAGACTTATCCTTTCGAGATGTGGAAAGCATGTTATCAGGGAGCTCAGAAATCTTCACTGTGCTTTTGGTGACAGCACAGGGCTCCAGATAGACTACTGGCATCTTTCCAGCGTCTAACTTGAACATTTTAGCTTGAGCAACACCTGATGGGCTATTTGGTAGCCATTTAGAAGACGGATGGTCAGCTTCTAGGTTATCAACTTTATTGTGCCTCTTTAGCTGTTTCTCTAGTATAGGATCATCATCACTGTTTGAGTATACATCTGTTTCCTCATCTGTCTCTTCCTGTTTTATAGTTACCCCTTCCGGGCACTCAGCAAGTTCATATTCATAATCATCTACAGGCTCCTCTTTAATAACAACATTGAAGTTTCCATTCGGGTCTAATGGTGACACTACATGGGAGCCGTCTTCAAAATTGTTGGCAACAAGACTGAAGAGACAGGGGAGGGAGGTTAAAAGGGCAAAATTAAGACTCAAGAGAAAAAAAGAAAGTCTGTTGGAAACCAAGTGACACATCAAATTTCATGAGCCATTCTCCAAAAAACAATGTATAACTTAGCGAAGTTCGCCAAAGCAGTTCACAAAGTTCTCAAAAGCAGTTTGTCAACATCACACTTTTACCCTTTCCATCAATTTATCAGAAACTATACAGGATAAAAATTAAGTTTTTAACAAGTAACCTTATCACGAATTAAAAAATGTAACACTTATTAACTAATGGTATTTTTCAAATAAACTCAATTTTGAAAGTCAGTTGACACTGACCCAAAATCAAACTCTAGAACTAATTGGCCCACCAATTAAAAGTAAAAGCAAACAAATGTCCATTACAACTAAGAACTGCAATAAACATCAGGAAAGGACTTTCAAACTGCCTGATCTGTTTTAACTGAGATAAAATTCATATAACATAAGACATAACTGGCTGGCTCAAATGGTAGAGCATATGACTCTTTATCTTGGGGTTGTAAATTCAAGCCCGATATGTGTAGAAATTACTTAAAAATCTTTTAAAAAAAACATAAAACATTTTAACAATTTAAAAATGTACAAGCCAGTAGTTTTTTGGTATATTCACAATGTTGTTGCCAGGTGATTTTCAACTTTAAAATAGTAAAACTCACTTTCAATGTAATGAATCCACCAATAATTCTTCCAAAATAAAAGGGTAGGGTAGTTGAAGGAAAGTACATATAATCAGGTAAGCTCAGTGTCTATAATTCATTAAAAAAAATCTTTTTAGCTCCCCCCCATCCCCATTAACCACTGAAAGCATTATTAATTGTACCAATATAACTTGAGGACATGTTAGAACTACTCACTAACCCAATTAAAGTCACTTGTCTTTGTAAAATTGTTCACTAATCTCAAATACACACAAAGCAACCCCTAAAATAATGTGTAAGCTACTCCTTCCTTGCACAACTTAGTATCTTGACCTCACTCAAAAATCCTTCAGTGAAGGACTTCTACTTCCATTTAGAATGTGGAAGATCACAAAGACAATCAATTCTGTCAAAACTATTAGAAAACACTAGGTAAATTAAAACCCTCTTCTTTTTTAAAGACATCAAAGACCTCTAGTCACAAGTCCAAATGAACTGAATTCTAGAGAGGAACCAGCCTTCTCTAGTTGGCCACAGATGAATACTGCTTTAAACCCTGAGTACCGTTTACATTGTCTGAAGCACAAGTGCACAAAGAAAAAAAGCAGTGATAGACGAAGGATCTTAAGTGAGACACAGAGAAATCAAACTTTCAATACCCGAGTGTGAGCAGACTAAAATCTAGAGAACCCCAAGGAGAAAACTAGTCCTCACTCCCACCAATTACCTCCAGAGCACTTCTGCAGAATAAGCAGCAGTGATGCAGGAAGTTGGCCTGAAAACCAAGCACTTACAGTCTCCCACAACTTATTTTCCAATTTCCCATCACACGAGTCCAATTCTAGCCCTAACACATCTGAAACCTGAAGTAAGCTAAAATTTACTAAAGTAAATCACCTAGACTGAAGGATATTAAAAAAAAAAAAAAAAAAAGTATGTCAGAAATCTGTGGGACAACACCAAATGACCTAACATAGTATTAATTGCACTTCGTAAAAGGCATAAGAAAGGAGAACATTTGGAGAGAAAAATGAACAAAAACATCCCAAAAGTTAAAGATTTTAACCCACAGATCCAAGAAGCTCGGCCAATACACAGGAGAATAAATAAAAAGAAAGTCAAACCTAGGCATATAAAGATCAGGCGGCCAAAAATTAAAAATCAAGAGAAAAGTCTTATAAACATCAGGAAAAAAGAGACATTAGATAAACAACAAGAATAGACTGACTACTCACTGGAAACAATGTAAGGCAAAAAAAAAAAAAAAAAAAACAACAACGAATGATAGTACTGAAAGAGTATAGTACTAGAAGAGTCAACCTAATCTAATGTTCCAGATTCCCAAAGAAGTCTTCTAAGACAGACTTTTTCAGACATCTGAGAAAATTGAGACTGCACAAGAAATATTACCTCCTAAGATCAGAAACAAGGTTAAGAATTTCGTTAACTCTCACAACTTAAACTCAGATGTACTAGAGGTTCCACCAGGGTGATCAGGAAAGAAAAGAAAATAAAAAACATCCAGATTAAAAAGGACAAAGTAAAATTTTCTACTCACAGATCACGATCTTGTATATAGAAAATCCTAAGGAAACCACTAAAAATCTAATGGAACTAATAAATGAGTTTAGCAAGAGTATCCAAGATCAATATACACAAGAAATGTTATTGCTACAAATGAGAAGCATCAAAATGGAATTAAAAAAATTCCATTTTCATTTATAACAGCATCAGTAAGAATAAAATACTTAGGAATAAACTGAACCAAAAAAAGTGTTAAGAGCTGTACACAGAAAACTACAAAACACTTTTGAAAGAAATTAAAGACAACCTAAATTAGATATACCCTACATTTATGTACTGTCAGATTTAATACTGGTACAACAACAACAGCAATACTGCCCTATTAGATCCCACCTGTGACTTTTGTAAAAAATATTCGTAAGGTGATCTTAGATTACACATGAAAATACAAGGACCTCAAAATAACCCAAAAAATCCTGAATAATAGGAATGAAGTTCTCTAAAACTTGTATTTCACAATTTCAAACCTTACTACAAAGCTATCACCATTGTAACAGTGTGATGATATTTGCATAAGGCAAAACAGAAACCAACTGAATATAATTAGAGTTCAGTAATACACACCCACATTTACATCAAATGATCTTCAATTGCCAAGGGTACCAAAACAATTCAGCGGGGAAAGAATAGGCATACATTATTAATAACAGCTAAAAAGTGGAAATAACTTTAATGTCTATCAACTAATGGATGGATATATAAAATGTGCCATATCCACAGAAAATTATTTTCAGCAATAAAAGAAACAAAGTACAGATACACACTACAACATGGATGACCTTGAGAAAGTTACAAGACCACACATATTATATAACTGCACTTATATAAATGTCCAAAACAGACAAATCCATTCAGAGAAAAAGGAGACTAGTGGTCATGTATGGATGGAGTGGTGTTGAGGAGGCAATGTGGGAAAATGAGGAGTGACTAAGAGAGGGCAAGGGATTTATTTGTGGGGTGATGAAAACATCCTAAAAATAACTGTGTCAGGCTGCACAATTCTATGAGTATACTAAAAAATCACTAAACTATACACTTTAAAAGGGCGAATTTTAGAGGCACCTTGGTGGCTCAGTCTATTAAGTGTCCAACTCTTGGTATCAGCTCAGGTCTTGACCCAGGTCTTGATCTCATGGTCATGAGTTCAAGCTCTATACTGGGCATGGAGCCTACTTAAAAAATAAAAATAAGGGGTGCCTGGGTGGCTCAGTGGGTTAAAGCCTCTGCCTTCAGCTCAGGTTGTGATCCGGGGGGTTTCTGGGATCAAGCCTTGAGTTGGGTTCTCAGATCGCCGGGGAGCCTGCTTTCTCCTCTTTCTCTCTGCCTGCCTTTCTGCCTACTTGTGATCTCTGTCAAATAAATAAATAAATAAATATTTTAAAAAGTAAATAAATAGAAATAAATTCCAAAAAATAAAAGGGTAAATTTTATGGTGATGAATGAATCTCAATTTTTAGAAAGTTAGTAAAAATACACTAAAGAAAGTTCTTTGAAGTTTGAAAGTTCTTTGAATGAAGAGGAAATGGACCAATATAAAAATGGATCCAGTAATGAATGACAAATAAATATGTAAGCATTTACACCACTTTTTCCTAGATTTCATTAAGTGACTACTGTTTAAAGCAAATAAATAATGATGTTTGTGGAATTTATAACACATGTACGAAATGAATTATAAGGACTATCCTTATTAGCTGTACATGTACTGCTACCATTAACTGAATTCTACTTAATAAACTAAAGATCTCTATAAACCCTGCAATGGATTGAATTGTGTCCCTCCCAAATTCTTATTTTGAAATTCTAATCCCCAAAGTGACTGTACATGGAGAGTCTTAAAGACATAATTAAGGTTAAATGAGGTCATAAAGGTGAGGGCGGTCTTTCCCCACTCTACGTGAAGACACAGCTCACAGGCAGCTGTCTACAAGCCAGAATGAGAGTTTTCAACAGAAACAGAACCCTGCCAAAACCCTCACCTTAGCCTTTCTAGCCTCCAGAATTGTGAGAAAATTAATTTTCATTGTTTAAGCCACAGTCTATGGTATTTTGTTATATCAACCTAAGCAGACTAATACAACCACTTAAAAAAAAGAAAGAAAAAAGAGGCATAGCTAAAAAGGCAAGAGGCAGTATAAATGTAATTTTAAAAACTCAATCCACACGAAAACAGGGAAATATAACCAAAGAACCCATGAGGAAAGCAGAAAATATCAAGATGTAATGCTTTAAAACTAACCCTATTAGTGATAATATTATATGTAAATGAACAAAACAATCCAGATAAAAGCCAAGAGATTTTAACAGTCAACAACAAAAAAAAGTTCCAACCATAAACTGCTTTAAAAAAATCCACACAATTTAAAGCCAAAGACAGAAATAGATTCAAAGTGAAAGAAAGGAAAAAGATAAAACCATGTAAACAGAAAAATCAGAAGAAAGCCAAGGTGGCTCAATAACATCAAAGTACACTTCTTTTTTTTTAAGATTTTATTTATTTATCTGACAGAGACACAGCGAGAAAGGGACACAAGCAGGGGGAGTGGGAGAGGGAGAAGCAGGCCTCCCGCCCAGCAGGGAGCCCTACACAGGGCTGATTCAGGGACCCCAGGATCATGATCTGAGCAGAAGGCAGATGCCCAATGATTGAGCCACCCAACCGCCCCAAAGAACACTTCAAAATATGTACCATCAGGGCACCTGGGTGGCTCAGTTGGTTAAGCATCTGCCTTCAGCTCAG